TCTTGTGTCATAGTCTACCAAAAAGTAAAATTCAATGGCCTTATCTACTGCTAAAGCTGAGTATGTTGCTGCTACTTCATGGTGTGCTCAATTGTTGTGGATCAAACAACAATTATTGAACTTTGAAATTGATGTGGTTGCATCCCTATTTTGTGATAACACTAGTGCTATTAGTATGACAAAAAAACCAGTTCATCATAATAGAACTAAGCACATAGATGTTAGGCACTATTTTTTTGAGGGACAACTATGAGAAAGGCTTGATCACTGTGGAATTTTGTGCTACTGACAAGCAAATTGCTGACATCTTCACAAAAGCCTTAAGTAGAGATCACTTTGAGAGGAACAGGTTGGAATTAGGGATGATTAAGATCACCTAAAAGGACCAGTTCAAGGTTAAAAGAAAAAAATGAAAAAAAAATTGGTTAGAAAGTCTATAAATTGTGTATAATTAGATTAATTCTTGCTCAGTCTCATACTTTCCATTGTATACTCCTGTGCCATGTGTTAAAATGACTCATTAATCTCTAATGATATTTTCTCTATTTTGGCAAATTTAGACTCACATAAGAGAATTATCAATGAAGAACCTGGTTCATCAAGATAACACGGTATGTTTTCTACACTCTGCATAATTTGAAATAACTATATTTGGATCATGAGCAGAGAGTCCTACCAAATACCAAACTCCTTTTGGACATATCCGATACAAGTGAACCAGTCCCGTTCAAAAGAGTCTCAACCAAATGGAAGTACCTAGATTCTAGGGATACACTCCAACGTCTCTTCAAAACTGAATTTTAGTTGATTAAACTTCTAAGAGTCTGAAAAGCTGTAGTTACCCCATCAATTATTCTCTGTATATTGATCAGCTTTGGTGTATTCCTTACTTCATCTCTCTCAAGCCGTCAAAAACTCTCATTCTTCTTTCATCTTCCAAATACAATCTAATTCTCTTCTTTTCATACCCTAGCCTAGATATGTCAAACACCTCTGAAAATCCTTCATCACCAAGCAAATAAACAAGCAATTGAAAGCAAGTAGGGAAGAAGAATCCTAGAAATCTGAAGATTCATTTAAGTCTGCTACTAAGGGGGAAGAAAGTAGGTCTTTCAAAACTGAACAGGTATCTTCTGATTCTAAAGTTTCTCTTGAGACAATTTCTAAAGTTGCTGCAAATTTGGAGAATAGATTTGTAGGATGTATAGCAGGTATAGAGTCTACATAATCTGGAGAAGTTGGTGGTAAAAATGAAAAAAAAAAGGAGAGCAAGGGCGCTAGGAGTACTGTGAGGGGAAAGGGGACAAGAGTGGCTGATTCTTCACCCACTCCTGTTGGTATAATAAAAGAAACTGGTGCAATGGTTGTTTGGGGAGAGGAATTTAGTGAAATAGAAGAGAGTGTGAGCAAAACAGGGGGAAGTAGGTCTGGCGAAGCTGCTGAGGGGTTGGTTCAACTTGGCAAAAATATAGATGAACCCGTTCCATCTGAATAGGAAACCCTCGCGGACCTACTGATAGAGTTATCAATGGCACCAAAAACTCATGTCATTCCCTATGGTTTCATTCTCACAACTGTGCTTGCACATTTCAAGGTACCTATGAATAAGTGGGGTTAATACTCTGCTTGCTTGCGATTATGAAGTCAATGTCATTCTTAATGAACCTGGTTCATCTAAAAAGACACCTATCAATAGCAAAGTCAGAGTCTTGGTACAGGAGAGTGAGGCAACGAATATTGAGATAGCAAGGCTGAAGACACGGTTGGTTGAGGTAGAATCTGAGAGAGATGTTCTCAGAACTGAACTTGCAAGGGAAAAGGAGAAGAATGATGGAATTCTTCAAGACATGCTGAAACTTCTCCAAGAAAATAACCCAGCCCCTACCTCTTCCAAGCCTTAAATCCTAGCCTAGTGTAGATCAACCAGTGACCCAGTTCGGGACGTTTTGTTTCTTTTGCTCATGTTTTCAGTATTTTTATTTCTTCTTATGCTTTGAGGTAAAATAATATCAATCATCAATGAAGTTCACTGTTTTTGCTCTAACTGTTTGTTTATATTTCTTTGATGGTTGAAATTCTTAGTTTGATCTATGATGATTAATCCATGTTTGCATTTGAAGTAGCCCCAATGGCCACGAGTAAGCTTTAAAATCTGGTTATCTCACATTTTTTATGCAACTTTTCGATGATGCCAAAAGGGGGAAAAAGGTTGTGCTTTAAACAAGTGATGTTTACACTTTGAACATTGATGTTTATAACCTAATGTACCTGGTTCTTGATGATAAGTGATATAAAGGAAAAATGTTTCTAACATTGTGTTGATGTTTGAGCTGAGTTCTGGCAGGGCCTAAGTGTATGAAAAGCACAGTGTTTGTCATCATCAAAAAGGGGGAATTTGTTGGCCCAAGTAAAGGTTAGTTTTGAAGACTGACAAAGGAACGCAGACATGAACCAGGTCCATCCAGTGGTCCATCCCTTAGGTTCAAAAAAACGGGCAGATTCAAGCATGTGGGATGCACGTGAAGGAGATAAGCTTAACTTGGTGTATTTAATATCTCCTGATCGAAAAGGTTGCATAATTGATAAGGAGAAGGAGTCCTTAATCAAAGAGAACACTATCCAAGATAGGGAAGGAGTTAGAAGTTGAAATCAACTAGAACTCTTCCACCAAGGAAGAGTTGCATCAGAACTCTAGTTATTTCTTCATCTACTAACTCTATAAATTGCAGGAGGTTCTCACATTAAAGTGTTGCACAAAAACGCAGAAGTTAAACGTGAATTGGGAGCAAAATAGCAAGGCTTTTTGCAAGCAGTTCGTGTGTGATTCAAGTGTGCAAACCAGAAGCTACATGAACTAGATTGATGAACCAGCTCCATAAAGAGTTTTATGTGTCTTTCTTTATTTCTAGTTCAATTGTAGTAGGTGTTTCATATTGTACCTTTCAGCTTTATCTAGAAGCAATTGTAATAGGTATATTGAGTATTCAAGTTAGAGTTAACTTGAAGTTGTCGCAGCAGTTAGAGGCTGGTTGCCACAACGGGATTAGAGTTAATCCTTAGGTTTACAAAGAGTTTTGTAAATGCAGTTTTGGCTCAGTGATTTTAGTGGAAGTTTGGGAAAATCCTACTGAGTAGTAGGTCGTGGTTTTTTCACCTTTTGAGCCAGGTGTTTTCCACGTAAAAATCTCTGTGTTCTTTATTTTATGTACTTTTAATTCCGCAAACAGCAGTCGTTAGTACACCTAGAAGAACCAGGTCCTTCCAGAAGCAGTTTAAGCAAAAATTGGGTACCACACAAATCATCCCCCCCTCTTGTGTGGTATTGACGTTTAGAACATCAGTTCGATACAAAATTATCACTGTGGTGGATTTGTAGGTTAACTAGGCTTGAAGCCATTTTCTTTTCATACCTGCAAAGTAACAAAAAAAACAGTGTTATCAATGACTATTTGTTGTCAAAAGTTGCACCTTTACACAACTCCATAAACAAACCAACAAAAGAGACATATTTTTTAAGCAAAAAAGCTTCCAAGATTCTTTTTTCGTCCCCACAATACCTTATAAAATTCAGAAATACTCTGGTGGACCACTAACAAGAAGGAGACCGACAAACTTCACACAAAAATGCATAAAATCTAAGATGAAATTCTGCTTTGACAAAAAAAACCCAAAAAAACTAAACGGAATAACCAAATATGCCATTACATGCATGGCACTACATTAAAAAGGATTTTCACTCCAACATGTAACGAAACACAACAAAAGTCCCACATATTAAGGAAGATTATACAACAATTACGACCTAACCCAGCCTTCCCCTAAAAATCCTAAGCAGAGCAAAAGCCCCATATATTGAGAAAAATGAAGAACAATAAATATAAAATATGAAGAACAGATGAAGAAACTTACCCCACAAACTCCGATAACAACTGTACAGCTAAAAATTCCCGCAACGACGATGGAGAAGAGAGGAGAGACTCACTGTTGTTCGATACTTTCTAAGCCCTAAGTACACGGGTAATTGTAAAATAATGGGAAAATGTGGGTTTCGGGGGTAAATAATCCTTTCCCATTTGTTTAATCCTATGTGGCCACATTAAGTGACGTGGAGCCTACATGATTTCATTTTATTAACGTGACGTCCTACGTGTAGGCTGTACACGCACTGGCAGCCTCCTGTCATAAGCGTTTATTATTCACGGTTTGAATGAAATGTTCAATTGGCAATTATCTAAGTTTGGGGACCGGCATGACAAAGTGGCACAAGTAAAAGTGTCATTTAGGCCATTCTGCCATTTTTATCTAAAGAAACTCATATCAGACAGACATGAATGATAAATGTGGAATATCTACTTTCAGAGAGCATCTCAAACATTTAGTTCCTCACATAGCCAGTGTGAGAGAAACGATTAAATTTGTGATTACCTAAGTTGATGAATCTCTTTCTTTTCATTCAATTTGAGAATAGTGGCGATTGCAATTATATTTGAACCAGTATAATAACAAGTGACACGATAGTTAGAAGATTACTCTTTCGTCTTGGACAACAGCAATCTGGAATCGCGTCTTTCCATCTCTACTTTGCCTTGGCCGAGCTTTCTCAATGAGTACGTTGGACCTTTGACGTCCACTCTTTTGTTCGTGGAGTGATCCTATCAATGGTTAGTCTGTATTCTATATGTTATGCAGACTCTACATTGGGGAAAAAGAAGAAGACATCATCAGTATATACTGAAAGATAAAAAATAGGTACACGCAGATAATAAAATGTACTAAATCTATGCAAAAATGCCTCTCCAAGACCATCTTAGCCAATACACAGCCTCTTATTGATTCATTTTGTGGGAGCAATCAGGTGCGAAAAGGACATCAGCTATAGTTTTCATCGCTTCAACGAATACAAGCTGATTGCTACCGATCGGATTGCACATCATCAGTATCCTTTGTCAGTTGTTTCATTTTTATCAGTTAGGATAATATCTGTTCCTGTCGCAATATCCTCATAAAGTAGCCTTTTGGATGATTTCATTGTAAACAATGTTATCCGTGTAGTGATCGCCTTGACCGTGCGAAAACACAGGTTCTCGCAAATAAACTCCAACAAAATCTAATGTCTGACCTTGCTCTTTATTTATAGTCATTGCAAAGAACACTCTTACGGGAAATTGTGTCCTTTTAAACGGAATATGCATTTTTTCATCTTGGGATGATAATAGTGGTATTTTAGGGATAAACAAATGCGTATTCTTAAAGTCACCAACTGAGATATTGGCGCTAACGACATGAGTTTTAAAGTCACAGCAAGTCAAACGTGTGCCATTGCATAAACCATCACACAGATTTAAATTTCGTAATAATATAATTGGGCAGTTTTGGTTCAGTGTCACTTTGTAAGGAGGCAGACCAGGTGGATTTAAACGGTGCAACAGATCCTCAAATTGTGATTGATCGTGAGGTTCAATAGTATCATCAATACCAATAAAAGTTTTTGATTCCTCTGGGAAGCGAGCAAGAAGCATGTCGTTGATATCATCGACGAAATCATTCTTAGTTGTTAGGATAACGCGGGAACTTGTGCAGGATGAGGAGGAAAAAATGTATGCTCGTCTGGATAAGTTATCGCGAATAATTTATCCAAAGATTTCTTTTCGGTTGTATAAGGAATGATGAAAGAAGTTGGAATTTCAATCTTGTTTGTTGAGTTTATTTTTTCTTCGCCGTTTCCTATTCGCAGCAAATATTTACAAAATGAAGGATCATCTTTCGCTCTCATATTTTCGAATAACCGCAACCTTTCAAGTTCTTCCCAGATGTGAGAATATAGTAAACTTTCATTAATGAAATCTTCTTTTTTTTCCATTCCGAACTACCGGCATTGTTTGCCTAAAGTCACCTCCGAAAACTACCACTTCTCCGCCAAATAGTATCGTTGAATCCATTAAGTCCTTTAAAAGTAAATCAAGCAGTTCAATCATTCTCTTTTTTTGCCATAGATACTTCATCCCATATAATTAATTTTGCATCTTGAATCAAACAGGCAAGTGAGCTTTGTTTGCTGATGTTGCATGTGACATTGTCATCAGTATTTATTGGAATTTTAAAACACGAATGTACCAGGATGTATAGATGCAACTACACCGGAAGTGGCAGTTGCCATTGGTATATACCCTTTAGATCGTAGAGTTGCCAGCAATGCACGGTATAAAAAGGTTTTCGCTGTTCCATCAATGAAGAATGCCCCAGCTTTGTTCGAAAAAATTCTCTCTGTAATTATATAGTATCCTTAAGTTGATCTTTATTCAACTTTTTGTGTAATAACATATCCTCATTAGTAACCGTGATGGTCCTTTCAAAGTGTGCCTTACAGAAGGCCTTATTGTTTCAGAAATGAGTTGATATTCATTTATGTCACCATGTTTGCGGGGCTAATCGTCTCAAATAATTAAGTTCAACATTGAAGTAGAAAGACGTGAAATTCCAGATGCTCGGACTTATTTATTGAAACTGAAGGAGATGCGTGTCAAGTATGCATTTTCATGCTTATGCCTTACCTTCTAGTTAGAATATTTAACGAGTTATGCAAGTTATCACGATGACATGCTTTTGGTATTTTAAAAAGAAGGTAGTATGCTTCCTTATCAATACTATAATAGATAAATATAAAATTTTGCTCAGCCATTTGTTGACTTGACTTATTGGGGGGCCGGGGTATTTTCTTTGCTCTGACCAAAAGCTGTGGCCAAAATCATGATGTTGTCATCCAGAGGCTGCATCGTATGTTCTCTCACTCAAATCTAATGAAATACAGTACATTCTTTAATGTGTTACTCTTGTTACCATTTATGAGTATTCTGATTTGTTACTAAGAATCTTCGTCAATCTATTGCCAGCGATCCTCAATGGAAATCAGGGATATACTTTGTTAGTGGTTATCTTACTTCTTCTTCTACCACTCTACTACTAAAAAACCAGTAAGATCGCAATTCGTCTTCTTTTATCCTAAGGTGCACTTTTGAATATTCTTCTACTATCTATAATTACTCTTGCATATTATAAGAAAAAGTTGAAAAAGAATGATAAGATAGTGAAAACAAGAATATATTGAATTGAGAAAGAAAACAGTACTACTCACTATGGAAAAATAACAAAGTCTAAGAAAACCCATAGAACTCCAAAACATTAGAAAAAAGAAAACTTAAAAAAATACAGATGAACTATTTTCATCAGTGTGCCAATCCTATCCTATACTCTAGACTATCTCCTTAGCGGGCTTTAAGCCGTTCTCTCGTGGCTGTGGTTCTGCATCATCCACGAACTTCTTCCAGTACCAATGCTCTCTCCAAACTCGAGACATCTCTTCAATTGGTATATTCTTTGTTTCGGGCACGTACAAGTGGTGGACAAACACAGTCATTATTAACACAAACGCCGCAAAGAAGATAAATAGACCAAACTTCATCCCACATAGCATCTTCAAGAAAATTTGTGCTACTCCGAAAGTGAAAAACATGTTCATGGATACAGTAACACATTGTGCTGCAGATCGAACTTCCAATGGAGAAATCTCACTCGGAACCAACCATCCTAACGGACCCCATGAATATGCAAAGTTAGCCACGAATACACAGATGCAGACTACCACTAAAGCTGCAAACCAAAGTGGCAAATCTGTTGCATTCCCTGTTGTTCCGAATTTTGCCCCAATAAGAGCTGCCACTGCTGTTTGGAATATACACATGAAGATGCCACCCCAGAAGAAGAGTATTCTCCTCCCAAACTTATCTGTACAAAATACTGAAATAAAAGTTGCACCTACGTTGACACCGCCAGTGATAGCAGCTGACATAAGCGAAGCGTTACTCTTAAACCCTAATGTTTGGAAAAGTACTGGAGCATAGAACATAACCACGTTAATTCCCGTAAGCTGCTGTAACGATGGAATCAGAATTGACAAAACCAACTGCGGCCTATACTTTCGGACGAATAAAAGATTATTCCATGGCCTTTCTACTTTCTTGGATGCTTCACTCGCCATAACAAGGTCATTAAATTCAGCATTCACATTATCAACTCCTCTAATCTTTTTCAACAATTGTTCTGCCTCCTCTTTCATTCCCCTATCTATCAACGAACTCGGACTATCAGAGAGAAACATTGAGGAAAACAGGATGACTAGTGCTGGCACGGCTGCACCTCCTAAGCTAACCCTCCAACCCCAACCATCAGAGATTTTGCTAGTTCCAAACTTGACCAAATTCGCTATCAGAATCCCAATGGTGATGGCCATTTGGAATAACACGTTGAAAGTCCCTCTGTATTTGTAGGGAGCAACTTCTGACAAATAAATAGGGACAGATTGATTAGCGAATCCAACACCAATCCCCAAAAGAATACGACCCAAGATGAGCATGCTAATTAATATGGATAGCAGCAGCGTTGAGGACGGCGCCTATCAAGAAAAAGAGACCTCCAAGGGCCATAGTAACTTTTCTGCCACGTTTTTTACTAACATGAGAAGCAACAATGGACGCAAAGAGGGAGAAGACGTGAAAAGGGTCAACAACTGGCTGTCAAACTTACAATACTGGTTGGTCGAGGTGTTCAAAGCCTCTTTTTGGTAAACAGACATGAAGAAGCGTTTGAGAAAAGGATCCATGGAAGTAACTCCACCTGAAATTCCAATGTCATAGCCAAAGATAACCCTCCCATGGCTGCCATGATACAAGTCATGGCTACGTACCCTGTTAGCTTCCCTGGGTACTCATCCGGATTGTCTCCGCCACCGCCGGGGATAAAGTTTCCACCAGCCATGAATATATTGATCAAAGAGAATACTATGCAGTAGAAAGAAACACACGAGGAAGATTATTAAAGTGTTTGAGATGGTGTCCTTAGGCGTGTTAGAGAAAGGTATATATAGATGTCAAAAACCGAGATCGAATAGGTTTATAACTAGCAAAACTAGTCAGATTAGGATATCCTTTTATTAACTTGTATTTCTTTTCTAGTACGTTTATGACTTACATTTTTAATTACCGCATATACTTCCTAAGTTGAGTAGGATATGGAGTATTTCTTTTCATGTCATAATTCTGTATATAATATCCGTGATCTTATATAATCAGGATAAGTTATGGGAAATTTAAAGTAAAGAAGATATACGGGCAATTTCAAATAAAAAGAATCAAAAAATTGTAAACCTATCATCGTATCATCATCAATTCATCTATATTTATATCTATATCTATATTATACAGTCTTAGGGTATGCGTTATACCTGTGTAACCATATCAATGAGTATATAGCTTTAAAGAATTAGATCAATATTATCCATCTGTTTCAATTTATATTACGTAGTTTGATTGGATATAACATTTAAGAAAATAGACGTTAGCCTTGTAATCCTATTTGTAAAATGTTGGACTACAGAAATAATCTTTTAATATATATATTAAAAGGAGGGTAGTATGCATTGTGGTTAAGCCAAGTGACAAGCCAAAATGAAGCCACTTGACAATTTTAGGACAACATTAATAATTATAAATTATAAATGGAAACATTATTAATGAAAATAGTTGAATGAATCTTATACATAATCTAAATAGATTTAGACAAACCTAATTATGTATATATATATATATATATATATTGATCCACTCATAGAGTTTCTTCTATATTAGCTAGAAATATGGAAGTACAAAATTAATTAAAAATAATAATAGAAAAAGATAAAAAAATTAATTAAAAAAATATAATAGAAAAAGATCAAAAATATATAGAAAGATGTAAATTGAGATAATCTATGACTATTTATAATTTGGCGTAAGTTAAAATATAAAATAAAACTAACATTCACTTAAGATATTAAAGATTTATTAAATTTAAGAAATAAAAATATTCAAAAAGCAAAATAAGATCTTACATAAAATGTAAAAATTATTTATAAGGTAAGAAAAAAATAAAATAATCTGTAAAAATATTTTAATAGCAAAAATAATAAATTCGTATTAATATTTATATATCAGACAAATGAATATTTATATGTAAATATTACAACAATATTTAGATATAAGGTTCAAACAAGTAAGAAAATATTTTTCTATGATTTATATCTGAATTGAGTGCAGTTAGTTTAAGTTTGAAGGCATAACAGTCCAATTTAGAAAATAGAATGGTAAGAATTATCTAAATTTGAGATGAGAATTTTTTTTTTTAAATATGATGAGAAAAATCATATTTTGGAATATGAACAATAAAGTCAAAGTTACTATTGAAATAATTTTTAATTTTTATTTATATTATATTAGAATGAGTGTTGTAGAAATAGATATTAAATTCAAACAAGCTAATGAAAAGCCACATGATAATGTAATAATATTAGGTATTGAATAATATAATAGCAAAAATAAAGAATAAATAGAGAAAAATAACCATTCAAAAATTTTATTGTAGAAAAAAAGGGTAAAAATTATTTAAATTTGAGATGAGAATTTTTTTTATAAAGGTCATAATATGGATA